TTCTCGGAAAACAGTCTGATCTCACAGAGTCGAGTAAGCTCTCTGCTTTGCATATCACGAGACGACCTTGTAGAATTTTAAACACTGCTATTGGTACCTGTTAGCAACGACAATTTCTCGTTTTATTAAGCAAAATAGAATTTCACTTGTAACGTAATAACGCTAAAGATCTCACGTGCACTGAAATATTCAAATTCCCAATCCTGGTCACGAATTCAGGGCAGTATGGAGTAACTAGCAACTATCCAACGCTTTTTCCTCTCTAATTACAAGCTACTTTCGGAGCAATAGTGAACAGATGGCAGCAGCAGTCGATACAATAACGATGCTACGCGAATGAAACTGGTATTAAATACTTTCCATGGACCACATTTGATATTTCGATGCATCTATTGCCAGCTTTCTCTTAAATCGCGAGAAATATTTTCAGATTAAAAGGAAACGATATTTATATTATTGGTTATGCGAATGTATAACGATTTAAACGTCAGCACGTTTCGAATCTCGCAGCCATTACTCGAACTCGAGCACTTGCTACCCTTCTACGACATTTATTGTCCAAGAAGGGAGAAATATTTCCGTAACGAATAAAGATTATTCGAAGAAAATTTCCTCTTGACAGATTAGCACGGATCATTTTGCGAGACAACGCGAGTTATCTCGAAAGAAGAGCGTAGAAGAATTTCAACGATTAATCGAAGCGTGACGTGGTCGAAGAATCCGTGCGACGACCTGTAATATCGCTATTACCCCGAAACGTACGTACCCCCATTGGACGACACCCCTCGGTACACCACGGAAGCACGTCGAAAAAGTAGGAAAAACGCGTAGCGCGAGTGGAGCGAGGATTGGAAAAGGAAACGATTGCCATTTAACAGTGAAACGATCGACGGAATCGGCACTCGTGGTCACGGTAAAATACGCCTTCTCCCCACGCCTCGTCGCATCGTATCCCATTCCAGAGAGCGAGCCCCCAGCGAAGAAGAAAAACGATCCGCCCGTAACTCATCGAGCCGACAGCAGTCACTCGCGAACAAAGGGAACCCGGTCGCGAAGATCGCGAGCGGGGTGTTGAACGGGGGCCTCGGAGTTGCAAATATGGCAATCGTAATGGAAGGAGACTTCCATCTTGCGCTTTAGTGTCTACCCGGAGATAGATTAACCGTGTGCAACCGCGGCTATGCCTGGCAGCCGCCCCCACCGTCCCCGCGCGGCCCGTACAAAAGTATAATATGTACTATCGTCTGTCCTTTCCTCGCCGAGAGAACCTTCCGTACCCCTCCACTTTGTTCCGGTACCCCACTCCCGCCGGGCGACTGCGACGGATCAGTGGCGGAGTGGGAGGCGGAGGAGGCAAGCCGGGCGGTGGTGGTTCATTACACGGCACGAACACCTTGGCCCGGTGAGAAAGTGTGCATCCACATGCACGCGGTGCAAGCAGCCGCGTATGCAACGAGTAAGAAAGCGTATTAGGTACGCAGGCATGCGATCCCGGCTAAAGGAGGGCGGTCCGAGGAGACAGGTGCGAGCCAATCGCGGCCCGCCACGTGCAATTTCCCTCGGCGTCTCTCTTTCCCCGTTCATTTCTCATTCCTCCTCTATCTCTCCCTGCCTCCCTCTGTCTTGCCTCCGCGCTCGTCGCCGCGCCACACCGCGCCACACCGCGCCGAACCGCGCTGCTAACTTATTTAAACGAGACTCGACCCCGTCACTACGAGTACGAATCCCTTTCGTATTCGGCACCGATGCGCCGTGACTCGAGAGAGCAACGACCCCCGCAACGATTCTTCGGCCGCTGCTTTTATCGATCGGCCTCCTTTGTCCCGCGACCTTGTACTCCACGGGATGCACCAACCCCTCTGCCTCCTGGAAAAACCTCCTCTCTTTGCTAATCGCCAATCCCTCCCGATCATCTCTGTCGTCGTCGTCGTCGTCGTCGTCGTCGTCGTCGTCGGTGCTGCCTGCTTTTCTTCCACGGTGGCTACCACCGTCTCCGTCTCCGCGTATACAGCCAGGGATCCTCTCCATCCGATTACCTTTCGATCGCTCTCCGGTTCGATCGGTTTCCAAGATTTTGCGGAAACTCGGGGAACACCGTGGCTGGATATCCATCTAACGTCGAGCGTTTCGTGTATTGGGAAAATTAGCCACGCGACGACGACTCGTGCAGCAGGGCGTGTGTACCGGTGCCCGTAAATTTCGAGCAAGCTCGTCAGCCAAGATCGAAGATTCCCCGACAGGAAGCGTGTCCTTCCAAGCTGCGAGGCGTTAGCTCTCCAGGCCCGTGAAAGTCCAAGAGGAACACGGTCTATCGGCGTGTTCCTCCTGGCAAATTCGTAGTTTCTTCCAAGTGAAATGTTTATACTCCTCGGAGCAGGAAGCAGGCTAGCTCTGCTGCTGCTGCTGCTCCTCGGACGTGAATTATGACTTCCGACCCATTTTCGCATTGTCGCGGAGCTCGAGGGCTCGTTAACCTCCGCTGGAGCGCGGCTTTCCTTCGGTTTATGATTTACTGCCGGATATAAATCATCCACGGGAGCCCAAGGCTCTGCCTTGGACAAAAGTCGCTCGGTTGCTTGTGCCACGGGCCGGGACAGTTGGCCAGAACGTTGCGCAACCGACCACCCGATGCCTGCACGAGCTTCTGACCTGCAGGAAGTTGAAGGGACCACGCCGGATTATTGCCCCGTGCCTAAACCCCTGCTGCAACCACCTGCGAGCTGCTTTCCGTCTTATTCCCTATTTATACGAATAAATTCTACCATTTCTTTCTGCTATTGTCCACGCTTCTGGCTCGTGACGAAAGAGTTCCAGTCGATATCCTCTCACGATTTTGCTCCTAGCGACGATCATAGCGACGAAAATCGATTTTCCCGGCAAATCCTGTCATCGACTATGGTAATCACAGTTGCGACAGTTTTTTCATTAAGAGGACAGACATTTGCAAAGCGCGTTAATTTCCGAGGTGATGAAATATTCATTTTAACGAGTTTCATAATTCGGGGAAGAGTTGGTCGCTGGTTGAAGGGAAATTCTTTTCAAGATGCCAAAGTTTTACGCGTCTGTCCTAAGGCAAGCTGGGTAGTCTTGAAGAGGTCGAAAGCTGATCACGAAGCCATACGAAATACCCATGTTCGCGCCCGATAACACGTAATCGAATTAAAGCTATTTTATGCCCAGTATAGATAATCCGGTAAGGTTCTATTCAGCTGCTAGGATCGACACGCCCAGCTGTTTCTTTGTTCGAAAAGCTAGCGTTCTAGCCAGTGCTGTATTCGTCACTTGCGAAACCTGTTACCTGCCTATTAATTAACGTCCAATTAAAAAGTTCCCTTACTCCCCGAAGCAAACGTCCGTACTTCATTTATCGCGATTGCGTAATAAATTTTGAATCGTTACTCTTCGCCAATTTTTACATGATGAAACATTTTTATTTTATACGATGAAACAAATGAATCTAAAACCACGATAAAACAAAATGTTGGAAACAGGAAATGGAAACATTGGTTAGTTTCAAAATCTGAGACAGATGTTCAGCTATATTCGTATAGACCCTGCTTTTTCGAAGAATGCCGTGCCGACTTAAAGTGAAAGCACGCAAGCCTAATGGCAGTTATCTTTCCATAATGTTTCCGCTTCAAGGACAGAGCGTTGGTGAAAGCTTCTATTCTAAATTTCATGCAAGGGTGTAGGGAAAATAAATGCGTAATTCTCAAGTTCGTTAAAAGGTTACGCGCCATTAATTTTTTAGATAATCTCGTTTGCGATATTAACGAAATAACAACATACATCGTGTTCCACAAACGCACAGATCCACGTAATATCCTGGCAAAGTCATCCTTATCGAAGAAAATTTAACAAAACAACGTCAAACTGATATATTAATATCGGGTTAGAATTCAGCTGAATACAGATATTGTTTTCAAAAATGAAAATCAATAAGGTACACCAATGTTAGATGAACGTAGAAATCGTTTCATAATAATAAACTTCATCGAATAACAGAACTGTAATATCCTCTATCGCGTTACTATCGCATTACTCACCTAAACAAAAAGTGGGAAATATTTGGTCGTCCTGCTGCATTCTAAGGGAGACATATAATACCAAACCGTTTGATAAAAGCGCTAATAAATTGTTTCAAAGATCTGTAAAACGATTGTATCGAAAATTGACAAAATTCGACGAGGAATTACCCTAAAGATGGTAAATAATACAGAAACGACGAACGCGACGAAGAAAGTTATCTCTTCGTTATTTTAAACGTTTCTGTCTGACGGCACTTGCACTGGCAAAGTATACGTAGCAGCTCCTCTTATACGTCGTCAGATTCTTAAATCTTCATTCTCGTTTACGAATCGAGGATTCCCGGTAAAAAAAGAAAAAAGAAAAAAGAAAAAAGAAAAAAGAAAAAAGAAAAAAGAAAAAAGGAGAAGAAAAAGAAAAGGAAAAAGAAAAAGGAGAGAGAGAGAGAGAGAGACGTCTAGACACATTCCAGAAGACCAAAGGGACTCTCTATCGGGCGCCTCGAATTCACACTTTGCTGCCGCCCCCCAAGGCAAGAAGCCCGAGCAAGGAAGAAAATCGAAAGCGGGTCGCGTGGAGCGTATCGCTCGGTGGCCGGTTCGCACGCAGCGCCGTGGATCCGGAAGTTGCGCGGCGTAGGTGGAACCAAGGAGAGGGGTTCCCTCTGTATAATAATTAATAACCGGCCGCTGAGTGGTTCGCGCAAGCCCCGCCCCTTACCCCCTGATTTATGAACCGCGCCGCCTTCCTTGTCATAACCGTGTGTACAGGCTTGCGCGCGGGAGAGGGAGGTTGTTTGGTGGGGGGCGGCGGGGCGGTGTGGTGGGGGAAAGGGTGACGCGTGACGTTGCGCGACGGTACCTACGCCCAGGCCGGCTCTTTACCAAGCGATCAGTCGGTTCTCGTCCTTGCCGGATGACACCGGTCGACACGCGGACGTCCGGCAGAAACGCAGCGCAGCTTTCACGCGCCTCCGCAAGTCGGCGCCACGCACGAGCCTCGTCCGCGGACCCGTGGAGACATGCAGCTCATGAGATGGAGCATCACGCGTCGCCTCGAGTGCCGGGGGATCAAACAGGGCACCTGCAGGTCCTCCAGACTCTCGTGCCCCCGATTTTCCGGTACGCAACGCTGACCTTGAACGCATCGCCACGCGTCACACTTCCCGCGAATTCTCTCCCTCTCTCTCTCCCCCTCTCTCTCTCACTCTCTCTCTCTCTCGCTCTTTCTCTCTCTGTCGCACGCGTTTCCCCGTTCGAGAGAAAACGTCTTACTACGGTACCAGCAGCGATGGAAGAAGCTCTTTGGAGGTTGACTCGAATTTTCTAGTGGATCAGTGGCGAGGTCACCACGGGTGACGAGTGAAACGTTAACTGGTGCGGTTCGAACGGGTCTGACTGGCCCGCCGGGAATAGTAATTGCGCGATTTCCATTTTTCATTGGCCCCGGTGCGCGTATTAAAAGTTTCCAGCGGTACGGGTTTCACGCGCCGTGTCGCGGAATACTAATCGCCGCGCGCCGCCGCTTCTTATCATTGACACGAATGTGCGCACAGTCCTCTCGGGGGCCTTTGTCAACGCCTGCTCTGACACGCTTTTTTACCACCAGTTTGTTATATTTTTGTGTCGTCGTGCATAGTCGCGAGTGTCGACGGTCGCCGTTTACCAAGGAATTATCGGCACGTACGTTTCGTGATCGGTGTCGACGGTGCCTGGGTGGTAAATAAAATCGGACCGATTCCGATTAGCAATTCTGCCTCGGTTTCACCGCGACACTGTACATTTTAACTATTACGCGCCGACCTGCCAAGCGTCCGCCCCGTTCCAGCCTTGGCGACTGCTTTAATCGTGAAGCGAAACCTTATGAGCTTTCATCTTCGCGCGTTAAACTGTTCACCGGAATCACCTTCTCTTCCAACCTTTTTGCTCTCCACCGTCTTACTCTTCTTCCATCTCTTATCAGACATCTTGCAAATCTGTACTCTCTCCTTCTCTTTTTTCCTCTGTGAAATATTAAATTAGAGCTACGTCAAGAGCACGCGACGGTTTCATCCGTTGGAAGGTCGATGTACCTATCGAAATATACAAAGGATTCATCGTTTCCAGCGAATATATTCCACTGCTTTTGCCACTACGAGTTTCCAATTGGGAATTCAAGAAATACGAACAGTATGAAACTACTAGAGAGTATAGATGGGGTTAGACGTTGTTTATATAATTTCCCATAATTTCCTCGGATTAATTACTATCCTAATTGCTTGCTGTAATTCTTCTTCGAAATAAACTCGTAATTCAACGTTAGGTTCGAGTATCGATAGTATCGGCATCTTCGAATGTATTTTCATTGGCCACGGATCATAACAAAGTCGACTGAATTTCTTGTTCGATTCTAGACGATCAATTCGCGAGTCGTTCGTCATATTCGTCACGTACGAATAATAGAACGCCTTGCTTGGTCTAACGCGTTCTCACATTCCAACTGCAATGTATCAAGAACCAGGTCTTGGACATGGTCTCCGGCAACGATTTTTCATCTCTTGGATCTACTCGATGAAAATACTGCCTGTCTCGTTTCACGAAAACGAATGTCCTTGGATTCGCAGTAATTCAGAAGTGCACCAACGCCGTTATTCGATAATAATCTGTCGTCGATTTATCACAAGTTATACGTGATTAATTTCGTAATCTTGGTATCTTTGAAAGTATAATAGGAATTAATTTTACGCGAAATAGTATTTCCAGTTTGCGGAACGTCTTTGGAAATTTGGTATCTCTGGTACGTGGTGAGATCTTTCGAACCTGCGATTCGATTTAGGATAACGAAGGAGAATAGCGAATATCCGCACGGTGTGTCCAAGCGTGCCATTTACACCTCTTAATATGTAAAGTTTGTTCGCCAAATGCTTCTTGTTGCATCGACAACATGATCAACTGTTTGAAATTCATAGAACATACGGTATCTCAAACGAGCGACGTTTTTTATAGATTTTTTTTTTTTCGTCATTAGTGTGATACATACAAATGATTTAAACGTTGAATACAGATGAAACTGGCATGGCTTCCTCGCATAGATGTTGTCCTCGCCATACAGGAAGCAGCGCATAGCTCGAACAGGCTTCTATATCTCTCTCACTCGCGATTACAGATAGAAAAAAAAAAATTGAATAATTTAATAAGATTCAAATTTGTCAGTCTTCACTCGGCGAACACGATCGTGTACCCTCCTATAAACGAATACTATAAAATGCTCGCAGAAGCGATGGAATTTCGAAATTGTATTCCGGTATAATTTGAATCTAAATTTTGTGAAATCGTCGGAATAAGTCGTAACGTAAAGTAGCGATGATAATATAATCCAGCAATCGATCCTTTGCTTCGGAAAATTCGAACAATCGAAACGGTATTCGCGAAATACGCAAAACCCTCGACGCGTTGACTGTGACGGTGGGCACCGGTGTCCGGCGATACTAATTTTTTCAATTTATATTCGTTTTATTCCAACCATTTTCCGAAAATTTGAACAACGCGAATAAATAGACAACTCTGAATGAAAAACATTAATAATTTCGACCGTTTTCTTTTTCCTAAGAATAGTGGAAGCTATATCGTGGCCCACCGAGCGTACCGCGTAAAAAGGTGCATGGCAGTCGAAGCGTTTCGAGAGGAGACAAAGAATTGCGCAAGAGAGGGGGCGAAAATAGGAAAAAGGGAAATTAATTTTAAAGATAGAAAGCTCGAAACTAGAGTGGAGGATGGAAACTGTGGTTAATCGCGACAATAATTGAATGTTGCAGGAGAGGAAAATGACTTTACGTCGGATGGGGAAGAGAGCGGTGGTGGAGGAGCCGGTGGAGACGAAGCCGTGGACCTCACAGCGTCCAGGTCTCATCATGGCGACGAAGACGACAAGGATCAGGAAGACGCTTTGGAGGAGGACGAAGAGGAAGGCGTGGACGAGCAGGACGATCAAGAAGACGACGAGGAAGGATCGCGCAAGCAAATGCATCACAGACAGGATGCGGAAAATAACAACAACTTTGTGGAAGGTGGCACGCCTGCCAGTCTATTCCCGCCAGCTGGAACTAGTCACGTCACTCTGGAAGCCCTTCAGAACACGAAAGTGGCAGTCGCTCAGTTCGCAGCGACAGCCTTGGCCGGTGGCGCGGACAGCGAGGCGGCTCTGCAGGACTTGGCAATGTTGCAGAGTACTCTGTACACGCTGCAACATCAACAAGTGTTCCAGCTTCAGTTGATCAGTCAACTTCAACAACAACTGTCGATCACGCACAGCCAAACGGTACAACAGCAAGGCCCCGGCGAGCCGTCGGATAACAAGGAAATATCACCGTCTCCGATCATCCAGCCTAAACCTCTGTTGAGCTTAACGTCGCCTCCGTCGTCGCGTCCACCGAGTCACCAGCAAACCTCGCCAGCTCCTATCACGCCTAACCTGGCTCAAGAACGACCGACGCCGAGCAGCAGCGCGTCTCCGTTGAATCTTCCGTTAGCTTCGTCGAACACGACCGGGACGACCGCGACGACGAGCAGCAGCGGTAGTCAGGTGCCGATGTCTCATCAAATACCACCTCTCTGCTCGATCAGTTCTTCCCTAGCTTCGTCGATAATAACCAACCCCGATCCGCCACCGTTGCACGAGCCGAACACTCTGGAGATGCTGCAGAAGAGAGCCCAGGAGGTGTTGGACAACGCTAGCCAGGGTCTGCTGGCGAACAACCTGGCCGACGAGCTGGCGTTCAGAGGCGGAAAAGGCTCCCGCCTCTCACCGTACGATTCAAAGTCCGGTAGCGGTCGCGGAGAGCCTTTCTTCAAGCATCGATGCCGCTATTGCGGCAAGGTGTTTGGCAGCGACTCGGCGCTTCAGATCCACATACGATCGCACACAGGTGAGCGACCCTTTAAATGCAACGTCTGCGGCAGCCGCTTCACCACGAAAGGGAACCTCAAGGTCCACTTCCAGAGGCATACGGCCAAGTTTCCACATGTTAAGATGAACCCGAATCCCGTTCCGGAACACCTGGACAAGTACCATCCACCCTTGCTACAGCAAATCGCCTCTGGTCAGAGACCGATGCCGTCCCCGCCGCCGCCACCGCCTTCTCACCATTCCTCTTATCACCCGGTGGCGGCGCACGGTTTTTTACCTCCTCAACCGCCCCTGCCACTCGGTTTAGCCCTTCCCGGTATGCAACCCCTGTACAGATCGCCGGTTGTCGCTCATCGAGACGATCAGGACGTGCCGGAGAACCTGAGTAAACCCGTTACCACTGCCCCGACCACGTCCCCACATTCCCCCGCGATTGTGTCCACCAACTCTCGTCATTCCTTTCACGACAATCACCAACAACAAAAGCAGCAGCTCGAGCAGAGAGACGAGATCAAGCTCGAACAGCGGTCGCCTATGCAGGAGCAGTATCATCATCATCATCATCATCAACATCAACATCAACACCAACGGCCTACGAGCCGAGAAGCAACCGAGAGGATAACGCCTAAGAAAGAGCCGGAGGAGGCGGAGGAACCGACCGAGGAAGAGAGCGAAGATTTCGAGGAAACCACTAGACGGTATTTGAATTCACCCCAATCCTCTGTCAATCCACCCTCTCAACCGCAAACTTACGAAGACTGTAGCATGGACAGTAAGATGAGCGGACGACTGGAAGGAGACGGCGACATGGAAGTGGACGAGGAGATGGAGGAACAACCCGAGAACTTGTCCGGTCGGGGAACCATGAATCGTCTGCCACAGCACATCGTAGCGTACCCTGGTGCCTCCCCAGCCAGCAGTAGCGCCAGCAGCGGAAGCCTTCAAACCTCGTTCGCGGGAATTCTCTTTCCTGGACCACCCGCGCATCATCAAATACCCCATCACGCCCCTCCTGCCGCTGTAAACCCGCCTGCCGTCTCGGCCAACGAGATGATCGACCCTGCCAAGGATCCGGCTATCTATTCCAGCCTGCTACCGCGACCAGGTAGCAACGATAACTCCTGGGAAAGTTTGATCGAGATAACCAAGACCTCGGAAACGTCCAAGTTGCAGCAATTAGTCGACAACATCGAGCACAAACTCACCGATCCTAACCAGTGCGTCATCTGCCACAGAGTGTTGTCTTGCAAGAGCGCGTTGCAGATGCATTACAGGACCCACACGGGCGAACGCCCGTTCAAGTGCAAGATCTGTGGTCGAGCGTTCACCACGAAGGGTAACTTGAAGACTCACATGGGCGTTCACAGGGCGAAACCGCCGCTCAGAGCGGTGCACCAGTGCCCCGTCTGCCACAAGAAATTCACCAACGCGCTGGTGCTGCAGCAACACATACGACTGCACACCGGGGAACCGACGGAGCTGAGTCCGGAGCAGATTCAAGCCGGCGAGGTGAACGAGTTCCCACCGGGTTATCCGCATCACCCATTGGCATCGTTCCTCCCGCAAGGCTTTCCACCGCTTCACCCCGCTGGAGCCGGCTTTCCGTTGAGCTTCCCTCCGACTCGGCAGCAGATACTGGAAAGGCAAGCTCATGAAAACGACCTGGACGTGGACGTGAAGGACGTACATCACCAACAACAACAACAACAGCAGCAACAGCAGCAGCAGCAACAACAAAGGTATACCGAGGAGCACAGCGAGGAAGCGGAGGATCAGGACGACGATGAGGAGGATCGTAGAGAAGAGGACGAGAGATGCAACGTGAATCGCGATGGTCGCGCGGACGTGGAGGACGAACAGGATCGCGAGAGCGAGGAAAACGAGCACAAAGACATGGCCTTACCGAGCTTTTCTACTTCCCTCGCCGCTCTGGAGAATCAAGTGCGAACGATCACTACGACGGCCACGTCGACGGTAGGGAACATTGCCAGGTCGCCGCCGTTTCATCGTTACAACGGCAGCGAAAAGAGCAACAGTCCGCCAAACTCTGGCGCTCCGTTAGACTTGACGCCTCGGGCATCTTCCACTCCGGCCTCAGTGGCGTCTGTACCAACGCCACCTCCGCAAACCGCGACCCACCATCCGCATCCGTTCGGCATGTTCGCAGGCCTGCTGCAAGCGGTCTCTTCGTCGCCGTCTACCAGCAGCATCGGTTCGTCGAGCATAAACAGCGTGAGCTCGATGAACGCCGTGACTCCTGGAAGCGGCGCCGCCGGACCCTTGGCTTCCCTGACCACGTCAGCCGTGTTGGCTGCGACTTCGACCTACAACCCGCTCGGCCTGGCTGTCGGAGGGCCAGCAGGTAGGCGCTGCTAGCATCGGGGCGAGCTGCAGTTCCTGCTACACCTCCCGATCGATCTGACACGATTCACTGATCCTCACCGCCAGTCTGACTGATTCGTCCACCTTATCCAAGCTGTATATCGACGTATCCTGTTTGTGGTGTAGCCGGACCTAGCACTCCTACCCTCCCGCTTGACTCTTTTTATTATCTGTTTGAACACCTTTGTTTCGGTATTTCTCTGTCTTTGTCTCTCTCTCTCTCTCTCTCTATCTCTCTGTCTCTCTGTCTCTCTCTCTCTCTCTCTTTGTATCTTTATCTCTCTTTCTCTCTGTTTCTTTCTCTCTCTCTCTTTCTCTCTATGCCTCTGTCATTCTTGACTTTTTCTATCTCAGTTCGAGTCACTGTTCGACGTAGAAAAGAAAAGAAATGAAATGAAAGGAAAAGAAAAAAAAAAAGAAAAAGAACAAAAGTACGGATAGACACAGAGTTTGCGTGCACAGATATTAGTTTTGTATTCCTTTTTTGCGCAAGGAGGAAGGAAAGAACGAAACTATGGATATTTGATAAATAAATAAATTTCTTTGCAAAACGGATTGTTGCCTGTACGATTCATTTCACACCTTCCGTTAAAACTACCAAAACAGACCAAGTGACTCTCTGACACGTTGTTCTCGAGCCAGGCCACCGCGGATAACGATCGGCTTCGGGTTCCGGAGGTTCGCGTTGCCAACGTCGTCTAGCCGGCGTCCGTGCGTTTGACGATTAGATTAGACCGTTTTCTCGCATTCGTGACGGATAGTTTACCGGTCGAATCGCGGTTACAAATTGCTTTCACGGACGGTAGAAGCGTGTGAAAGTGTCGGGAAGCAATTGTAAAGAAGTACGATCTGTTACAGTGCGTGGAAACACCACATGTAATATCTGCTACAAGACATTTGCGTGCAACTCCGCGCTGGAGATACATTACCGGAGCCACACGAAGGAGCGACCTTTCAAATGCAGCATATGCGACAGAGGCTTTTCCACTAAGGTAACGTAACTTTCATGCATTAGACGGATCGGAAGGATCGAATTGGACGCGTTCATTCTGAGAATTGTTTGCTGCTCACCAAACGAATTCGAGAGAAATCGTGCAGCGACTGGATTGATAGCGGTTTGCGATATTTACGAGGCTGGTGGAAACGTTCACGCGGATTTCCATGTAATTAAACCGACTGATTCGCAAAGATATATTTCGGAATATTCCACAGCTTACAAACGCAATTAGCCTTTCACGATGTCGTTCACCGTTTCCTGATTTAAAAACCGATCGCTTTACTCTCGGAAACGCGTAAACCCTCGAGTTTCTCGTTCAAATTTTTATTCCTCTCTATCATTGCCATACTCTCGAAATCGTCTCAGCGATTATTTTTACTACGTTCGCGTAATTGCTCCGCGAAACGAACATTAAACATTACGGACGTTTACAATACGATTCTCGCTTTTAAAACGAACCAAGTTTCACCCGGTGACGATCGTTTCCAGCACTCGGATTCAAGTCTCGAGAAAATTGAGAAATTTCTGACAAATTCTACTTTTTACTTTCCCACTTGTCTCACTTGTCCTCGGAAAAATCGCGAAAAGCTATCGTCTATAGGTGGAAATGGAGTTAATAAATTGCCACGATCGAAACGAATCTACCAAAGTTTCGTTGGAACTCGCGTGTCGAACGACTCGTTATACTTGACAAATTCAATGCTAACGCTGTATTTCACGTTTAATAACACGGTATTTCTGAAAATACATATATCAATCCAGTCATTACAGGATTCCTTTCGTGCAACCTTCAAGATGAACATTTATGCTCCGTTGCTTTTAGAAAGGGGAACTTATTCAACTAGAACAGTATACCAATGCAAAGTAGCAATTCATAAGTTTGGAAAATTGATCGGGAAAGATTCTATTCGCTTAACTCGCAATCGATCCCCAAGTTCGACACGCGTTGCTCGTTTATCGGTTAAGGAGAAAATGAAAATGAAAATGAAAATGAAAATGAAAATGAAAATGAAAATGAAAATGAAAATGAAAGAGAGAAAGTAAAGAATCAATGATCACGATCCAATGCCTGGTTCGGTTTAGGTTTGTTCAGTTCTGTACCTTTGTTTTTTCTACGATACTTTCAGAACGATGGTTCCGGGCAGCAAGCATGCGTCTGTGCGTCTCAACCGTTGCCCGCTAACAGTTCGATCACTTCACCCGATCCTCAATTCGGATCAGCGTGCGCCAGTAGTCGAGAAAAAGCGAAACGCAGGCGGCGGCGGCGACCTGAGGAACGGAAGAACCGGGGGCGGAAAGGAGCCGGAGGGGGGCGGGGGCTAACGCCTGTCTATCCTGCCATCCGCCTACCCCCGCTGATGTCGCCCGCCCTCGGACTTCTACCCTCGGCGCACGGCCTCCTGGTAAGAGCCTGCTGCATTTTGACAATGAAACAAAAACTATGATAACACCACTATGTATTCTTGTTCGAGTTTACGCCATTTTCGGTACCATTCGATCGGCATATATTCGATCGGCACTGTTCCATCTATCAGACGATCGAAAGCACTCCGTTGCAGTAGCACGAGCTACTTTTCCTTTCATTCTTTCTACATTTTGCACGCGTAGTAGTTAACAGGTCGTGTTAGTCCGAGCATCTATAGCGAAAAATCTATAGACGGGAAAACACTGACAGATTCGTACACGTTTAAATCAGTAATTGTGCAGAGTGGTGTAATCGACGAAGTGGTTGAACTCGAGGCTGTAGGATGATGATTGTAATGTAATCAAGGCATATTTTCTATCTCGTAGGGGAACATGAAGCAGCATATGCTAACCCACAAGATTCGCGACATGCCGCCGCATTTGTTCGGTGACTCGAAACAACACCAACAGCAATCTCAGGAGCACGAAACCTCGAGAAGTCCAATGTGCGCAGAAGATTCCAGCTTACCGCCACCTCCACCGCCTCCGCCGCCTCCTCCACCGATGCCACCGACCTCGATGGAGCAAAATCTCGCGGTGAAGAGATCCCCGTCAGAGGGGGAGCTGCCAGCGCCAAAGAGACCAGCCAGTAAGTAGCGGAATACCAGTTGAAAAGCGTCTGTTCAGTCTGCTTCTTCATCGAGCACAATTCGAACGGTCCAAGGCTTGGCTTGGCGCAGCAGGTTGAACTGTTTCGCTAAACAGAGATCGCATCCGAGCTTCAGTCGGAGCGCGAGTTCGGCAGCGAGTGTTGTTTACATCTAGCTTCGCTTACTTGTGCACGCCTGTGCTTTTCTATGCAACCACGCTCTTTCTTTTCACGCGCTCTCTCCTTGGTGGCAGGTTTGCTCCTTCTTTCACCTTTCTCTCACGTTTCTCTCGTCTTTCGTCCGACGATCGCGCGGACTCTCTCTCTCTCTTTCTCTCTTTCTCTCTCTCTCTCTCTCTCTCTCTCTGTCTCGAGGTCTTCGTAACGAGCTACCCTTGGTCCACCCCGGCCACGGAAGCCGACCACACTTTCCCTCCCTCGAAGAAAAGAGACAAGCTTGAGAACCTTCGCTAAACTTGCGTGTCAGGGTCTGTTCAGCGAAACTGTGTGTGTGTATTTGCAGGCGTGCCGAGCAAACACTTGTGCCAGATTTGCAATAAGAATTTCTCCTCGTCTTCGGCGCTCCAGATCCATATGAGAACTCACACAGGCGACAAACCGTTCCGATGCACCGTCTGCCAGAAGGCCTTCACCACCAAGGGCAATCTCAAGGTATACACATCATTTTTCCCCACTCTCTTTCTCTCTCTTTCTCTCTCTCTCTCTCACTCTCACTCTTTCTTTATCTATGTATTTATCTCTTTTTCTCTATCTCTATCACCCTCGTTCTGTTTCTCTCAGTCTTTCCCCATTTGTCTGTCTGTTTCTCTCTCTCTCTCTCTCTCTCTCTCTCTCTCTCTCTTCGTCCATCCCGCTGTCCCCGTGTCTCTGGATTCTTCGAGTTTATTCACTAACACCAGCTAGCTGCTACCGCTTGTACTAACGCTATAACGCGTAACGTACAAAACGTAATGGAAAGAACCAAAATGCAAGCTCGATGAAAGATCAGCGACACATTGCAACATCCCCCGCAGACAGACGCGTTTTGACCAGGCGCACCGATCTTTCTGACCGCAGGTGCACATGGGCACTCATATGTGGACCAACGGAGCCTCTCGACGAGGTCGTCGAATGTCCCTGGATCTGCCTCCCCTACCCATCACCCCCAAGGACTCGGAGTTCCTCCAGCGACGGCCGGATCTTTTCTACCCGTATCTACCCGCGCCATTCCTTAACGGCGTGCAGCAAAAAGTAAGCGATTATCCAAATTTCCCTCCTCTCTCCTTACCCAAGCTCTCCCATCGCCGATTAATTATTCCACTCGAGTAATTTGTTTATTACCGGATGTCACGGTCGGTATGACGAGACGTTGGACAAATTTCGCGTTTAATGGGGCATTCTGGTGAGAATATCGCGTGTTTTGTTTCGGTATAAAGGTAAACGTTGTTTATAGCGGTCTCCAAGCATACGGGTAGACGATTTGCAAAGATACAGCATAAGCGAGTCGATGTACTGGGTGTTCCGAAATTCAAGCAAGATTTTCATTTCTTTTTTGGGAAAACCAAGTTCGAAATTGAGGAAGAAACTGTTTAGAACATCGAGGGAACCAAGTTCCTTCCTGCCAGGACATGTGAAATATAACCTCGTTATAGAATCGAATATCGATAGAGAAACTTATAATTACATAGTAACGCGATAAGAATGTAAGATAGAAATTCCCCTAATTCGAAGATTATAAATATTTGTAAAATGTAAATAAATTTGACAGGAAGAGTACGATTACAAGCCTAGCTAGTTACACCGAAATTGTCTGAAAGATGAAAAACAATTCCATTTACCTAACTCAGTTCCGAATTATTTTCTAAATCGTTCAATGTGACTACAAATCTGATGTATAAATCCTAAAGAAACGAATAAATCGATCACCGAGGAATCGAAAAGATCGCAACGACATCGACAACATCGACGAGCAGCGTACGAAAGATGAATATTCCTTGTAACCCCTGAGTCATTAACGATCATTATTTTCTTCGTGATCGCGTTCGAGTAAAGCTAACCAGTGGCCGTGCCTTACTTACAGCTGAACGAGATCTCGGTGATCCAAAGTAACAACGGGTTACCGAGTCACTCGGTGGCCGCTGGGAAATACGCGGGATTATTCGGCTCGGTGTACGCGGCCGGGGCCGGATTCCCTCTGGACAAGCAAGCGATGGCAGCGACCAGCAACGGGCCACTGCTCGACGGGAAGTCCTCGATTCCGTCTGGGTCCATGCTCTTCCAGACACCGTCACCCACCCACTCACCCGGCACGCCGGGCTCGAATGGCAGCAATCAGAACAGCGCGACCGTGTCCTCGTGGACAGGGGACGCTCTTACGGCCAGGTCGGAGAGCAACTCCACTCCACCCACGGCTCGACTTCCACCGCCACCGGCTGCCAGGGGCGAAGGATTGGCCACGTGAACCTCGATCGACGACACGTATCCATCCTCTTCGAGGCTTCACGTTTTCGGTGACTGAACTCCGTCCTGGCTGTTACACAGGCATAGGCAGACAGAGAATGAAAGAGAGAAGAAGAAAAGACGTTGAAAGAGAGAGGCAACGGTAGTAGTGTTTCAGTGCATTTCGCGAGCCGAATGACTCGGGAGCCGAACGTCCGACGACATATCCTTCTTGATTCCCAGAGCCAGAGCAGATACCATGTTCCTATTGTCACACTAGTCTTAAACGCGTTCGAGAGGACTCGCGGGGTACGGCGGCTGGTCTGTCCCGTGTGAGTCAGTCGTCGGCCACGTAACCCGGTCTCTCGTCAGAACTCTCTCCCCGCGACACGTGCTTTCGCACGAGGGACCGACGGACGTGGCGCCTAGACTGAGCCGTTCGGCCGCAAGACACGTGGCGCCGCGACGTCCTGGCCCTCCATACTCTGACCGTCCATGCGCGACAGTGATGGTCACCTCACTTTAGGGTTATCGTACGTTATTATTAGAAATGAATCCTTACGGGGTATACCGCGTGATCGGTGTCCGATATGATCCCGAACGCGAGATCGACTCTCTGCTCCTCGTATTTCGAAATTTTAACCTCGACCACGGAGAAACCGTGTGCTTCGACCACGCGCGGCATTATTCGCCAATTCGTCTCACAGCGTTTGTACCTCGCGTTCCACGGCGGAAAGGAGAATACTCGAGAGGTACGTCGCTTTCTTTTTTTCCAAGAGACGTCGTTTTTAGAAGTTTCGAAGCGGGCCCGGCAGCGCCCTCGCTGTGATATGAGAGGAGCAGCCTGCAATCATATAAACCAATGTACTTATACTTTGTATCATAGTATTATTATTTACACTCGATGTACAGCACGCACCGCAACGTGTCCCGTCGTTCTTTTATACGGAAAGACAGCCGACGTCGATTTGTGTTCCCCGGTACCCATCGATCTCGAGTCTTTTCCTAGGTGGAGCCTCGTTAAACTGCCCTTTAGTCGAATTTCGATTCCTTTCTAACCAGCATCGCATCGCGATACGTTATCCGATGCTGCGTTATCGAAAACGCTGAATCAAGCGTGTCTCTATACGACAGCCGAAGAAATTTTTCCCAATCTTTCCCAAGTTTTCCCAATTTTTATTCCTTTCCTGACCATCTTCTCTTCCACTGCACGGTGAAATAGCGAGATCGTGACAACCCCCGTTTTTTCGTTTTACTCCGAACCCTACGACCAGTTTATCGAGCAACGATTGATCGGTAATCGCTTTTTCAACGCAAAAAACGATCGCGAAATTTGAAGAACACGACGAACGTGTAGCACACGATTCAAATTTTCATCTCGAAATTTTCGGATAATTTTACGCATACGAGTTATCGTCGACGAGTATTATTCGTTTCTCGCTAATCGTAATAATGAAAAATAGATTCTGCGATTCATCGATGACCAAAGGGAGGAATTATTTAGTCATATCAGAACTTACGTTGGATCGTAATACGTGCAAATTTTCGAAAATTATAATTCCCATCTATTTCGATTAATATCGAAGCTAAGAAGTACGAAGTACCTCGTATCGAGAATTTCTCATGCGACACGGAAAAAATATCTCAACGAAAACTAAATCGGGGGTGTCGTTCCACTCGTGCCGTTATGCGAAATTCAACTCGCTAACGAATTATTTCGCATAAATAACGTCCATTCGCTTAAAGGTTGATTTACCGCGAATCGTCGAGATCCAAATCAAAATTACACGTTATCGCGAATGCTATCCGAGCTGATTCGTAGCAGACGAACACGTAACCCCGTCGAACAAACGCGTAACCCCGTTTACATAATAAAAGAAGAAAAAAAAAAAGAGTCTGAAAGGAATGATTTGAATCGTATTATCGCTGTCGCGCGAATCTCTCGAGTCTGAGAACATGATCGAAGGTGCGCGTGCAATCGATCACGATTCGTTCGTACTCGAAAAGTAATACTCGTGTATAATGGCTTTCCTGTATGTTCTCACGTTTAACCATGAAATGCGATGAAAGGATAAATAAATAAATAAAAACTACTAATAATAGACGAGATACGATACGCATGTAAAAACGTGTAAAAAGTAACGATAGCAGCATACGTGTTGTCCAGTAAGCACTTTACGTAATTTATCTGATTTTTAACTAGCTTAGGGGTAACTTGTTAAGAGCTCCGTCGATTCGAACACTCTCGCGCGAAACGCGAGATCAACAGGAGCCACGGTGTTTCCTGTCTCGACGGTGGCTATACGTCAATCAAAAATTACCGAACACCACTTGTCACGGTCCAAGACGTCGGATACGAGACCTGTTCTCTCAAACGGAAGCTTCGAAAGCATCGAGTAACAGTTTCCATCGCGTTTAACCGATAATTTAACCCTTTGCACTCGAGAGTTCACTCTCAGTCATCGTTTAACCTCAAAATGATGACCTACTGTAGACACTGTAATGACTCCGTATTGAAACAATAACAGTGACTTGACACGAAATTGACTCCGTATCGCTACTAGAGCAGTGTTAAGTTGAGTTAAATTCACTCCTAATATCAATGATGATGTACGTCGGATAGACTCGGTATCGTTACAATGGCAGCGACTCGATGTCAAACTGACTCGGTATCGATACTGTAGCAGTGATTCGACGTCGCGTTGACTACGTATCAATTGAGGTGACTCGTGAAATTGACTCGGTATCTAGATCCGAGTATCTGGAAGTATACTTACGAGATCTATAGTCCTTTCAACGACTGCACGTAGCGAGTGCGTGATCAGACTAGGTGGACTTCGCAATACCCAATGACTGGATCCCTGAAGGAGTTCTGGAATTGTGGAATGAAGAGAGTTATGGAATTAGGCCCTAGTTGGGTCTGAAGAAAATAGACTAATAGCTACAGACCACTTGACTGATCACGCAGGTGTTAATGTAAACAGTGAAATCTCGTCTCTTTGGATGGACTATAGGTATCCCTCACTATACGTCAAATTGACGTCATGTCACCACTAACGATACCAAGTCAATTTGACCTAGAGTCACCACTGTCGTTACCACTAGTACTAGAAAAACAGCGGTCACCGCTAGAAAATTAACCCTTCGACTACGGCAGACTTTGAAACGCACCGGTCGTACCACACAGGTAGGAATTCGTTTACAATGTCCACCGAGAACGGTAAAATTTTGGATATAGATGCGCCCTCCGTGTCAGAAAAGCAAACTGTGTTGAGCGCTTATATGCGCCTTCCGTGTCGCAGAAGCAAAAGCACGGTAGCCAAGGGGTTAATAGAATTTCGAAAACCGATATTAATAAATTAAATGTGAGACAACGTAACGATATGCGAGGCACTGAAATGAAATAATTATCATCCACGTATTAATTATAGCACAATTTTTCATTTACTATTCGAAACGATATCGTCGCCTTCGTTGTAGAGAAAACGTCATCGAGTGCAAATGCTTAAATAATCCGAAAGCTTTTACTTACCACGGAGAAAATATTACAATAATATTAGCGATGCAAAAATAAATATTAATTTGAAATTAATCGGAAGAAATTTATCTTTGGCGATCTTTCGATACCGATTCGTAAATTCGATAGAATTTCGATCCACCCTTATTTCGTAGCCAGTTGCACAAAAGAACACGAGAAAGGTACGCGCGAACGGATAAAGAGGATACAAAATGGCGGAAGCTTCTCGAGCTTGCGGGAGCGGCGTCTTTGATCGCGACAAATAAAATAAACAGTTTTGTACGCGGAGAGTGTAGAACTGGATGATATACTCACGAATAGACGATGTTTTTAAACGTTCTTACGAAATACCTTGAAAATACGAGAATAAAGTTCACAGCCGATCGCGATGGCGATCCGAGTGATCCTGAATCTACTCCTCTCGCGGTATTTTGCTTTCTCGATTCTTTTCTCTTCTTTTCTACGATCCAATTCGTTCGAAGGCATATCGATAAACATATATCTGTACGGTGGTTATGCGTTCATTTTGTAAAAGCAATCATTAGGTAAGATTTGCCCAGGAATAATAATAATAATAAAAGGATATATATACATACACATATATATATAGTCGCGACAATTACGAATCTTTTCGAAGACGAAACACTCTGTTCGATATAATTTTTGATTGGAAATCTAGAGAAAGGGAAATAAAGGAAACGAAAGAGCGACGAATCGAAACGGTGTATAAACGAAAGGTGGAATAGAGGAGAGAAACACGACAGAGTTAGGTGGAAATGAATAGAACGGCGAGAGAGCGTTGGAGAGTCTGAAAGGTAGTTTTAGGAAGAAAATCAAAAGTCTCCTTCGAGAGCGACGGTCGTATACATATATATATATAAATATTGTTGTAAATAACAAACACGCGATGAGTATAAAGGAGGAAGGTTAGAGAAGTGGATGTAAATCGTGAGTGTGCTATTCAAAATGTCTGGTAAGTTAAGTGGGGAACGTTTACACGTTCGGAGATGTGCAGATGTCTCGCGTGCTTGCACAACGTGGTCGTTTTTAACCGAGGAACAGACGAGGAACAGAGGAGAAAGATACGAAAAAGATGGGGAAAAGGGGGCACGGAAAGGCTGGCAGAGTTATTCCCCGATTGCAAGTCCTGTGAAGTTGTCCAAAACAAAGTATTGCTTGTACGATCTTAGGTTTTCTGT